GCTTGTAATCCTAGCTACTCATGAGGTTGAGATCTGAGGATCACAATTCAAAGCCAGCCTGGAAACCATAGTCCATGAGACTTTTTTTCCTTGTCAGTTCTGGGGCAAGAACTGTCCCTGAGCTTTTGTTCAAGACTAGTACTCTACCACTTGAGCCACAGTGCTACTTCTGGCTTTTTCTGTTTATGTGGTACTGAGGAATCAAACTCAGGGCTTCATGCATGCTAGACAAGCACTCTAGCACTATAGAATTATGTGTGTACCACTACATCTGTTAAGAATCAACTCCATCTATAGCTCCTTAGTTTATGCTCTCTGCAGAATGCTGGTTCTTATTTTTCTATCTGCGTAGATTTACCTCTGTAATTTTCTTCTTGTTACAAGCAGATTTACAGGCTGTGGGGTGGGTGCTAAACATCACTGAAGTAGGTTACAGATGCCTCTAGCTCAGCCAGCCATTGATAAACCAGCCCCACATTCCCTGGGTAGAAGGCCTCATTCTCTCTGGTTTCTTTGGGTAGATATGCATTCCCACTCTTCTTAGAGCCTCCTACTTCTGGGGCTGTCCTTATCTGCTCCTTGCAGCTTCACAAGATACATTTTGGGCAGCCTGGCTCCTTCCGCTCCAACCACTCCAACACTGATTCCTTTCTTTTTCTCTTGCATGTTTTTGAGTGGATACTTTGTTGAAGATTCTGGTTGCATTTTTTAGGAGGGAGATAATCTTCTGGGAGCTTTTCTGAGTCCCCTCCCATGCCTGTGTGATAATCCTTTCCAGCTTCTTTGCAGCCTATTTTATGAAATAAGATAAAAGGCAATAGAGGAGGAACTAGTTCCCAGTACTGTTGTGCCCACAGAGGTTAGAGATTGGGAGTACAGGAAAGGGGGAGGAGGACATCTTAGTCAGGTGGTCAATGGAACAAGCAGATGTACTATTATAAGATAGGAGGCTAAAACTAGGCCAAGCATTGAGGCCAGAGCCAGAAGTTGACTTTTGGGGAAAGTTACAAAGAGTTTGAATTAGACAGTGTCTATTTGTTGGAAGACCTTGAGAAACAATTACAGAAGACTTTTAAATGTGTTTAAGTCAAATCTGCTTTCACCCAGGATTCCTGGAAAGACACGAATGTACTAGATGGATGTTGCTTTTTCTATTAACCCAGTATAGAGATGGGGACAGCAGGCAGAGGCCCTCCCTGCTCACTTCCAAGATCCAGTATCCTGTAGGACAGGATATTGGGGCCAATAGCACTTCTGTTTTGCTTACCTGATGCCTTTACTGCTAACACTGAGTCTTTTCAACTCTCCTGTAGGAAGAGGGAACAGCTCCCTGTCAGGTCTTGGGGAAGATGCTTATATAGCTAAGGTTGAATTTGAGGGGTTCCCCCCTCTTTTCTGTGTGTGTGTGTTAGTACTGGGGCTTGAACTCAGGGTCTCACATTCTTGACTGCCTTTTTTGCCGAGGCTGGCTTGAAATGCTGATTTTTTGATCTCAATTTCCTGAGTAGCTAGGATTACAGGTGTGAGCCACCAATGCCTGGGCTCCATTTTTCAAATGAGACGGTAAATAGCCATTTCATGAGGCTGTGCGGAAGACTGAGATCAAATAATGGCAATTGCTCCATTTTTCCTATTCTTCCATCACTTCTTTCTCCAATATGACAACTTACTGTGAGATGACTTCATTATCTTGGCTGCTCAAAGGAATTCAAATCTCTGACTAGTGTAAGTACCATGAGATGATGTGTTATCTGTGGATGACGCATGTTAAATAGGAATGGTAGGTAGAATTCCAAAGCTGTCTTTCTTCAACTGCTATTCAATCTATTAAATCTAACACTAAATCTACTGAAGATATTCTGACCTGTAACATAAGCAATGGATCTTTTTTTTTTTTTTTTGCCGGTTGTGGGGATTGAACTCTAGGCCTGGGCGCTGTCCCTCAGCTGTTCAGCCCAAGGCTAGCGCTCTACCACTTGAGCCACAGCACCTCTTCTGGCTTTTTGTTTATGTGGTGTTGAGGAATTGAACCCAGGGCCTCATGCATGCAAGGCAAGCACTCTACCACTGAAACGCCACCTTCCCAGTCCCAAGCAATGGATCTTAAAACAAGATCACCCTGAATTACTTCTGTGGGTGTAACCTAATCCACTTGAATTTCTTCCAAAAAGGGAATGAGCTGAGTATTGTAGTATATATACGCTTTGAATCCCAACACTTGGGAGGAGGATCACAAATCTGAGGCCAGCATGTGCTACCTATTGAGATCCTGTCTCAAAAATCAAAACCAAGGTTGGGAATGTGGTTTAATGGTAGAGTGCTTGCTTAGCATGCATGAAGCCCTGGGTTCAATTCCTTAGTAACACATAAACATGAAAGACTGGAAGTGGCACTGTGACTTCAAGTGGCACTGTGACTTCAAGTGGTAGAGTGACAGTCTTGAGCAAAAGCAGTTCAGGGACAGTGCTTAGGCTCTGAGGTCAAGCCCCAGGACTGGCAAAATCAATCAATCAATCAATCAATCAATCAATCAGGTAAGTTATAAAGATATAGTAGAGCTAGGCACAGTAGCTCACACCTGTAACTCTAGCTACTCTGGAGGCTGAGAGGGATCTAAGTTTGAGGCCAGAGGGATGGACTGGGAAGCAGGAGACCCCTGTTAATCAATAGCTGAGTGTGGTAGTGTATGCTTGTCATCTTGACTACGGTAGGAAGCTTAAGCTAGAAAGGTTACGATCCTTCTGGGCAAAGAGTAAGAACTTAAAAAACCACTGTAGGGCTGGCTATGTTGCTCAGTGGTAGAACCCTGCTTTAGCAAGCATGGGGCCCAGAGTTCAAACTCCAATATTGCTAAAAAAAGGAGAGCATATATACATCTATCTATCTATATAAATTGTTGTTATTGGTAATAGGGCTTGAACTCAGGGTGCTATCCCTGAACTCTTCAGTTTGAGGTGAGCACTCTACCACTTGAACCACAGCACCACTTCCGGTTTTCTCATGGTTAATTGCAGAGAAGAGTCTCACAGACTTTTCTGTTCTGCCCAGGCTGGCTTTGAACCTCGATCCTCAGATCTCAGCCTCTTAAGTAGCTAGGATTACAGGCATGAGCCACTAGCGCCTGGCTGAGAGCAAATATTTTGTCAGGCACAGGAGGCTGAAATCTGAGGATCACAGTTCAAAGTTAGCCTGGGCAGGAAAGTCTTTAAGACTCTAATCTCCAATAATCACCAGAAAACCAGAAGTGGCTCTGTGGCTCAAGTGGTAGTACAGTAGAGCAATAGCCTTGAGCTGAAGAGCTAAGGGGCAGTGCCCAGGCCCAGAGTTCAAGCCCCATGACACATACACATGCTCTTGCGCACTACACACACACACACACAGGCCCAGAGTTCAAGCCCCATGACACATACACATGCTCTTGCGCACTACACACACACACACAGGCCCAGAGTTCAAGCCCCATGACACATACACACGCTCTTGCGCACCACACACACACACACACACACACACACACATGCGCACGCGCGCACGCTCTCTTGCACACTGCAGCCAGGTGCTATGGCTGATGGTTTAGGCCTGTAATCCCAGCTACTCAGGAGGATGTGAGATCTGGAGGATCATGGTTTGAAGCAAGCCTCAAAGCAAGTTTGTGAGGCTTTCCACTAAAATAACCAACACAGGGATTCAATGTGAAAAAAACCTGAGTAGCCATGGCTGATTTTGAAGATGGTGGCAGGAAGGTAGGAGCTGGATCTCTAGAAGCTGATTGATTGGTAACTAACAGCCGGCAAGCAAAGATCTCAGGCCTGCAACCTCACAGACAATTCAGACAACATAAATAAACCTGGAAGATCTATCCCCAGTCTTTATAAAAAGACAGATGCCTACTGTCACTTTGATTTTGGCTCTATGAAACTTAAGTTATTTGAAACTTTGAACCCCAGAACCTTTAGCATGCTTGGTAAGTGTCCTACCACTGAGCCACATCTTTCACCTATACCAGAGACTTCTTTTTTGGTCAGTCATGGGGCTTCAACTCTGGGCCAGGGTACTCTCCCTGAGCCCTTTCGGCTCAAGGCTAGTGCTCTACCGCTTGAGCCACAGTGCCACTTCTGGTTTTCTGGTGGTTAACTGGAAATAAGTCTCATGGACTTTCCTGCAGGGGCTGGCTTTGAACCATGATCCTCAGATCTCAGCCTCCTGAGTATTTAGGATTACAGCCATTGGCGCCTGGCTACCTGAGACTTTTTTCCTCAATGTTGATGATTGGACCAGAGCTTTTCACCTGCTATGTAATTAAACTAGAATTTAGCCTACATTCTCTAGCCACACCTGAGACTTCCAACCTATATAAAGTTAAATACTAAACAGAAGTTGTAAGTCACTAAATCTGTGACCATTTGTAACAGAAGACACAAAAAGTATTTGAGTTGCCTCAGTCAGCCTAGGAGGCACACGTTATTCTCTTTTCTTTTTTTTTGTGCTGGTATTTGAACCCAGGTCGTCACACTCTTGCATTGCTTTTTTGCTCAAGGCTGGTACTCTACCATTTAAGCCATAGCTCCACTTTCTGCCTTTTACTTTAACCATCTCTTGGATTTGTCTTCCTGGACAAGCTCTGAACCAGGATCCTCCGATCTCAGTCTCCTGACTAGCTAGGATTAAAGGTGCCCCGTAGCTGATTCTGTTCTCTCTGCTATTTTGTGGATAAGGGAGCCGAGAAAGTATGATAGAAGACTCAGAAAGTCAGCAGATGGGTTTCAAGATGGGTCACTCTTGGTGGCAATATTTGCTACCAAGTTCACTTGCAGTGTTCATAGCAAGACATTTACAAAACACATTTTATGCAATCAAGTCTTCCCTGCCCTTGTACTCTGTGGGCTAGGGAAGACCTAGGTCTTCCAACAGTTACAACAGTCTTAGATAATGTGTTTATGAAAAACATGTTCTCTTCCTTTAGCAAGCAGAATTATTTATGAAGTGCTACCTCTCAGAAATAGGCAGCAAAAGGGGAAAAATTACTTCAAAGAAAGCAATAGCACCTTTCCTGGTGGCATCTGTCATTTTACAAACATGAAATGTTCATATTAGAGATCCTATACCAGAACCACAACAATAAAAATTAGTCACTAATGGGGAATTAGCAGACTCTTTGGACACATTTTTTTTGAAAATATTCTGCAAATCAGAAATTAGTCCAGTGACTAAGTGCAGATGTTTGGAGATCTTTAGCTAATCCTCAAGTTCCTTATTCATATTCATCATCTGCCCCCAAACCTCCTCCCCAAGTCTGCACCAAACATTTGACAGCTGTCTAAGGACCATTCTTATTTTTCTGAGTGTGGTGCTGGGCATAGAACTTAGGGCCTTGAAGACTGTTCTGATGTTAAGTCAAATCACAGGTCCCATGGAAAGGTCTGTACACAGGATTTTAGAGAAACCAGTTTAGGTATTCTGAGACTGAGCCACCTGTGCCTCTAGCTCTAGTACCAGGAATAAATAATGAGTCAGCACCTTGTTCAATTGGTAGGGTTTAAATGATTTTACATTGTTAGGTGAAAGATTGCCACAATTCTGTGCTCATGGCAATTTTCAAAGGAAAACTTGAAACTGAAAATCTTGAAGGGGCCCTCACATAAACAGAAGTGCCCTTCTGTCCCCCGGCCAGGCCTATGTACATAAAACATTTAGTAAGCAGGACTATGGAAGGATTCAGTAGTAAGAGGCAGTCTCCGGGTTGGAAAAGGCCATTTCTTAAGTTCATCCTTGGGGCCCTGTGGTTTTGATCTGTGGCTGGCTGCCATCTTCATTGTAGGGGATTTGTGTTATCAGGTAGGTGCCCAAATCCTGGCGCTTGTAGAGGGCCACACTGTCCAATACCCACTCCCGGGTCACCACGGATGCTTCACACAACTGACTGATGGCTGGGGATAGAACACAAGCAGAAGTTAATGTCAACTCATTCTTCCCGGCCAGACTCTTAATAAATCTACTCCTTCAACCTGATTATATAAGTTCTTAGGGTCAGGTAAGAGTCAAATTGTTTCTCTTAAGCAACGCTTCAGGATATAAGTGAGACCTTACTCAGAAGTCTGATGAATGATTGTTGGTAAAAAGTCCAGCTATCGACTACTGTATTACCATGAACTTTAGAGGAAAAGCCACCAGAGAGCAAAACAACACTGCATTTTAACGATGTGCAAAAATACCTTCAGAACTAAACAATATAATGAGGAGCACAATCACATTTGTGTAAAATACACATGTATACATATATATATACATGTACTTATACTTGGAAAGTTTTTTTTTGTTGATCGTGGGGCTTGAACTCTGGCCCTGGGCGCTGTCCCTCAGCTCTTCAGCTCAAGGTAAGCGCTCTACCACTTGAGCTACAGCGCCACTTCCGGTTTTCTGGTGGTTTATTGGAGATAGGAGTCTCAGGGTCTTCCCTGCCCGGGCTGGCTTTGAACCGCGATCCTCAGATCTCAGCCTCCTGAATAGCTAGGATTACAGGCGTGAGCCACCAGCGCCCGGCTTGGAAAGTTTTTATAAGGTCATCTCCAATGGTGGATTACTATTTGTTTTTGTGCTAGAGTACATTTTCTGTGATGAATATTCATATTTAAACCACCCACCATTGAAAATGTTCATGCATTATTATTATTGTTTTTCAGTATTTTGGGCCTTATGCTTTCTAGGAAGGTGTTCTACCACTTGAGCCAAATATCTAGACCTTTTTGCTTTTGTTATTTTTTGAACAGGGTCTCACATTTATGCTCAGGCAGGCTTGGACCACAGTCCTCTTTATTTATTTATCTTTTTTGTTGTTGGTCATGTGGCTTGAACTCAGGGTTTAGCGCTGTCCCTGAGCTCTTTTGCTCAGGGCTAGTACTCTACCACTTTGAGCCATAGCGTAATTTCCTTTTTTTTTTTGGTTGGTCATGGGTCTTGAATTCTGGGTCTGCGTGCTATCCCTGAACTCCTCAGCTCAAGGCAAGTGCTCTACCACTTGAGCCACAGAGCCACTTCCAGTTTTCTGGTGATTAATTGGAGATAAAGAGTTTCAGGGGCTTTCCTGCCCAAGCTGGCTTTGAATGACAATTCACCTCAGATCTTAGCTTCCTGAATAGCTAGGATTATGGGCATGAGCCACTGGCACAGGCTTCTATGAGACTCTTATCATCAACCAAATAGCAAAAAGACCAGAAGTGGACCAGGTGCTAATAAGTTCAAACCCCATGACCAACAACAACAAAAAAATCTCATGGACTTTTCTGCTTTGCAGGCTTTCAATGTGATGTTCCAGGTCTCAGCCACCTGAATATCTAGGATGAAACACCAATATTCAGCATATCATTATTACTTTTATAATATAAAACAACAACAAAATGTTTGAATCAAACCCACCCAAAAGAACCCCATATGACATTGGTACATGAGGGAACTTACCCTGGAAGCTACTGTCTTCTGTCCAGGCATCTGGCTGTATGACCACAATTAGGGGAGAGTGCTGCAACCCCAAGGAGAGAATATTAGGGTCAGATTGGGGCTTTTGGAATGGTCTCTTTACTATTTCTTGTTTGCTGAAGCTGACTATGCTCAGGGTAGCCGGACAGGGGGGAAGAGCACATGGCAAAAACAATTAGAGGGTAAAGGCCTCCCCTCAGTACAGTAAATACCACAGCTCCTAAGTCCCTAGCCCATTCAGAGGAGTCTTCTGTTAGGAAAGACTTTTTTTTTTTTGGCAAGTTGTGGGGCTTGAACTCAAGGCCTGGGCACTGAATCTCAGCTTCTTTTGCTCAAGGCTAACACTCTACCACTTGAACCACAACACCATTTCCGGCTCTTTCTGTTTACATGGTACTGAGGAATCGAATCCAGGGCTTCATGCATGCTAGATAAGCACTTTATCACTAAACTACATTCCCAGCCCAGGAAAGAATTATTTTTTGGTTGGTCATAGGTCTTGAACTCTGGGCCTGGGCGCTGTCCCTTAGCTCTTCAGCTCAAGGCTAGCACTCTCCCACTTGAGCCACAGTGCCACTTCCTGTTTGGTGGTTGTTAATTGGAGATAAGAGTGTCATGGATTTTCTTGCGAAGGCTGGCTTTGAACCATGATCCTCAGATCTCAGCCTCCTGAGTAGCTAGGATTACAGGGGTGAGCCACCGACACTCGGCTAGGAAAGACTCTTTGAGGCTATACTCCACACCTGCTCAACTGCAGAAGAGAGTATGTGTCCTCTTCTATGACAGGGCCCCAAACACTTACTGTGCCCACGGTGGTTGATGCAAGCTCCTTTACTACTGAGGCCCCACACAGCTGCAGTACCCACTCCAGTTGATCTACATACGACAATCAGATCCCAAATCATTTCAGTGATCCACATATATAACCTGCTCCCTCCTCCACTGCCTCCCCAAAGGATGTCTACAACTGGATTACTCAGTGGGTGAGCCCTTGTCTCCCAGCTCCAAAGGACAGAAAAGCCTTAACATTAGTATGCATTCTAAATCAATTTGCCACAGTTATTCTGGTTATCAGTCTCCATATGCCATGGTAGATAAGGTTCCATAGACTCTCAAATAAAACAGTTAGGAAGAAAAAAAAACCCTCCAAGATCTAATTTCCATTAATTTGCTAAATTGCTAGATAAGATATTGTGTGAAAAAATACTCACCACTCCCCACCTTTTTTCTTCCCTCCCTGCATTCTAAGACTGTGTTGGTAATTGATAATCACAACCACAGAGAGCACCATACTTGGTGTAATTACTGTAAATGTCAAGAGACTGAGGGAAGATAATTGATCCAGTGTAAAAATACATGTCACCCTGGTCAGGGACTCAGCATGTCAGCAGGAAAGGCCACATGCTGAGCTGGAGCCATATATTCTGGGAAATAAAAAATTAAGATTATAGAGATATTCCACCTGTACCTGGAGAGTCAACAGAACTGACCTATGGGTATCTTCTGGACTCCTGTGGAGACCCCTGGGGATCCAAACAGATGTTGCTCTCTCTGAAAAGCTCATTTCTAGGAAGTTCTGAGTTGCTCTACATTAAACTGAGGTTTACTAAGTTACCTCTCCAGAAATGCTACCTCTAACAGGTTTTTGTTTTCACTTTGACAAAGTATATTAAAAAAAAAAAGAAATCCTCAAATAGCACGTGTAGATTTCATAAAAACCAATCAATAACCAGTCAAGAAGAAGACAACAAAATACATTGCCAGGATCTTTTGCTGCTGCTCCTCTGCTTGTGACCAGATACTGAAGCCTTCCTCGCCAAAATGAAACTGGAGTCCCTGGGGCAGAAGTGGACTCCAGGAAGCATAGCTAGTTTAAGCCTTTGTTTTGAAAAGAAACCTAATTTATACATGCAAGAGGGAGGCCCTTGGTGCTGTACAACCTCAGAGTCCAGTCCTATAGCAGTCTACCTGCAACATCTTGTTCAATGTCAAATTTAATTAGAAATTGTTCATCAAGTGTGTTCCTCTGCTCAGGGCCTGTGTGTGGCCTCAGACCCACAAGGCTTAGGAGCTGCAGTGCTCTCTTCTCTATATTAAACCAATGTTTAGGAAGAGCAGAACTTTTTCTGGACATTTACAAATCCCACATATTTTCTCCCTAAGTCTGGTTTCCTGTCTTAGTCCAAATGGGCAATAACAGCAGCTCTGCCCTTATTTGAGTACAAAATACACTGCCCTGAATCTTAGTCTTTTTTCTTCCTTTTTTTTTTTGTGCTTTTTTTTT